TATCAGAGACAATTCCGGTTGTGGTTTGACGGCTTGTTTAGCACCCATAATTAAGGGTGGCTTGTTAAGGGTTTGTTTGGCCCGATTATACACCCCGATATTGTCAAGCCTGGTTCGGACTCAGGGGGCATGTTAAAGCATTTGTCTCACACCGGAAAGCTATAAAACAATTAAACACTATATAAGGCTTTGGGCTACTCCTCCTATCAGGTTGGCCTTTTAGGATGGAACCCCAGATCTTAACAGTTTTAAGAAAACAAAATATAAATTGGTTTTTTTATAATTCTAACTTCCAAAAAGTAAAAAAGAATAATATGATTCACAAAATATATGTAATGATAGATAAAGGAATAAAGTCGAAAAGTAAAAAATTTGTGGAGTTCAAATTAGGAAAGTGTTCATGTTTTCTAGACAATCCAAAGAGAAAAATGTATCTCACAAAACGAGACATAGGCAATATTATTTAGTGATAATTATAGGAGAAGTTGCCTCATATAGGAGTAAAACTTAGGAGAAATTCTTAAATAGGAGTATGTATGTTTTCTTCCCCAAATAGGACCATATTACTCTATTTAAAACATACAGACTTTTCAATTCCATTCTTACCCCTATTATGTTTAATTCACGGTCGATGCACTCTTCCACTCACCGTCTTCTCTCTCTGCTTCCTACGCATCATCCTCTCCCCTTCTCCATCGATTAGTTTCATCTTCCCTGCAAAGATCTGTCGCCTTCTTCTTCTCTGCAAATCAGACCGGTGAACTTCTAAGCACAATGTCATCGATTTTGTACCTAGCCATACTGTTGCCGCTAACTCCACTGCAAGCTGCCTACAAATCAGGTTTATTCTCCTTCCTCATCTTCTTTCTTCTCCTTCTTCCTCCCTCCTCCTTCTAGCTTCCTCCCTCCTCCTCCTTTCCTCCTCCTCCTATTATTCTATTTTTCAGATTTTTCTTCTATTTCTATGTTTTTTAAGTTTTGGCATTCGATTTGTTGATTTTTAGACTTTTATTTCGTATATCCATTTTTTAATTTCTCAATTTTTCCTGATTCTCTCAATTTTTGGATGATGGCATAAGTTTTTGCCAAGTTTATGGCAGAAATGACCTCGCCGTTAGGCCGAGGTCATTTGGGGCCCTTCCCGGTAGAATTTCTTGACGAAATTTTTTAGCATGTTCTTCATCAAGTGCCCACAAAATTTCAGTTTAAAATTCAACCAGGCAGTCAATTAAATAAAAAATTAAAACATATTGCGTTTTATGTATATAATATAAATAATGCACAGTATATTTCAACCGGGAGTAGGGCTTGGCATAATAGTTTGGTTTAACCGAACCAATTGAATCAAACCGAATGGTTTGATTTGGTTTGGTTTTAAACCGAAACCGTAAACCAAACCAAACACTACAACTTGTAACATTTATAAAAATACTTTGTATTGTTTTCACTCTTCATCTTTACGATATAATTAAATAAATAATTTAGATATGAAAAATACATGTTTAGCATATACTACGTATCACTTTCACTATGACACATTCCATACATCCATTATGACAAATTTAGCTAATAAGACATATTTGTTATATCTTGTACTCTACCTATTTTTTTTTGGCAAATCTTGTACTCTATGTCTCTACCTATATGAAAAGATGTTTGGTGATAAAAATAGCAAATTGCATTTATATTATTTTCAGTTAAAATATAGTACACTATACATTTTACATGATTCATTTGAATAAAATTGTGAATTTTACAACATTTTTACCACCGACTCATTTAGTTGACTTTTGAATATTTTATGTGATATTATAAATGTTAATCAACTATATACTTATTTTTTTGTGATAGATGAATCTTTTCTCTAGTGATTGAAAAGATGTAAGACGTTTTCATGTCATTGTCTTTGTAAGATGAATTAGGTATTAATTTATAATATTCTATTATTTCTTTTTCAATCCTTACTTCCCTTTACATTTTGTTTAAATAATAAATACAAGAAGATGAGATGAACTACCAAATAAGTCCTCGAACTTAAATAAAAAGTGCAAATCATCCCTTATATAAAGACTCTATCCGGCCGTCGCCATTTGGGCGGTTCCCGATAGAATTCTTTGATGAAATTTTTTGAGCATCTTATTCATTAAGTCTAATTTACTCATACCAAATTTCAGCTAAAAAAGCAATTGGGAAAGCAGTCAAATGATTTTCTGAAATATATTGCGATGTTTAGTGATTTGGTTTGATTTGGTTTGGTTTGATTTGATTTGTTACATTCAACTTAGATTTTTTAGCAGTTCTGTTTATTTTGATTCGGTTTTCGGTTTTTGATTTTTCGGACTCAGCCCTATGTTTGATACAATATCTCCAAACAGAATAAACCAAAATCAAACAAAGCCGATGAAAACTGAATCATAAACCGAATTGTCCACCCCTAGGTGGGACTTGGGAGGGTGTGATTCAAAGAAAATTGGCTTAATAATTTACAATCTATCCAAAATACTAATTCTAGACAAAATTGAATATGTTTAATAAGTATTTGCTTACGTTCGTTCTTATTAATATAAGCCACATTCTTTGAAAATTATTTGCAAATTTCTTGAAAATGAGCAGTCCATTGAAATATAAATTCTATTCATTGATAAAAGTATTTATATTTCAAATAACAAAATATCTTGTGAGGTTCTTATTTCATTGCTAAAACAAGATTCATTAATAAATTATATGATCACAACTAGAAATGGACCCAGGTAGGTCCAACTAGTCCCGATTCCGGGCGTAGACCGCCCAGTACAAAAAAATTGGTCGCCTGGGACCGACCCTCTATTTTCCGGGTCTTGGACAGTTTTAGGTAGGGAAAATGACCAAAATTGACATTAAGGTTTTTAATGACTCTCAGATTTGACACTATGGTTTCAAGTGGATCAAATAAACACAAATCTGAACGTTTTGATTCATTTCCGGCCACCCTTTAACATCTCTGTTAAATTACTCTTGCCCGTCCTTAGCACCATTTTCATCGAAACAACACATCACCTTAATGCATGAAAACTAAGTTCATATATATTGATAGATAACAAAAAATTCAGTGTTAACGTTTGGCGGTAAGAGCTAATATAGATATTTACCACCTCAGTAACACTCCATCGATTGTGCTTAAACGAAGAACTAATAAATTTTAATTACCCAATGTTGGGTGTCTTTGGAAATACTCGTAAATCTAAATTTCATGTTTTGAATCCGTCTTTGGAGTATTTCTTATCAAAGCTTCCATAGGAGTTGTGCCTAAGCGAAATTAAGATGCAGTATCATCTTTGACTGTGCTCTGCAAGTGCAGATATTTATTTGGCTCTAATGATTATATGGGGAGGGAGATAGACGAGATTTTACTACACGGAGTACTATTTTTAAGGGCCAATATTATGATATTATCCACTCTATTAAATTAATTAATACTTGTATTTATCTCTTTAGAATTTGTATTTGACTTGCTCTGTAATTCCTCTAGTTCGGCGCATGTATAGCAGCGCAGTTAGACTTACAAAACACAGCTCCCTGCATAAATATTTTAGGCCGTATGCCACTGATGAATACAACACATACTTTGTTATTTGTCTTCCATATTTTAGCAGCCAATTCGTGTGAGGAAATTGTCAATAAATGTACAAGAGAGATACACTTCAGTGTATCTTAAACGACATCTGAGAGCTATAGCAGACTACGCTTCGTCCTTTAGTACCGAGCTTTCAGTCAGCCTTCAAGAATTATTTTGAGAACGGGAAATCAAGCACAGGGCTATCGACGGGAGAAGACTGGAATTGAAGTTAGGGTTCTGAAACGTATAATAGGGTTGCTTACCGCCCTGCCATAGTCACGAGTCTGTGAAGCAATATATCCAATTACTATGGTTTCCTCCTTCTGGGGTCTGCCCACTGAGATTGCACATATCGGATGTTTGTAATGAGAAAGAGAGACCTTCTAACGGAAAAGGAATCAAATAAACGGAGATAGTTAAGGGTGGCCTAGAGTGAACCAAAAAGTTTAAATTTGTGTTTATTTGGCCTGTGTGAAACCTTAGTGTTTCATCCGAACTTCATTAAAAACCTTAGTGTTATTTATGACCCGTTTTAGGTACCCAGGCTGTCCTGTTCCAGTCCTAGACCCGTTCTATTTATTTTTGGATTTTTTTTTTGTTTCAAACTTTAAAAAAATGGCCAATCTGGGACCGCGAACCGCTCTTGGCTAGACAAGGCCGGCTCAGGATCAAAACCGAAAATTTCAGACCCTGTCTGGTCCCAAACAATGCCGGACCCGGTTCCGGACCAGACCGGTCCACCCTTAATCACAACTATCACTATAAAAACATCACAATGGTCGATGTGCACACTTTAATTAAGAATACCACAATAATTATACAATCCGTGGAAAATACATATACATTCATTACACAATAAAATCGAACAATGTATGGGACTGTGCCTTAGTATGGCCTATGGCACTCGGCTGATCCGGTGCGTTTCACTAGTAATGCCCAATGCACAATGCCACAATGCATCACCACTCCCGGGAATAGGCACATCTGGTTCGGTTTCGGGTGAGGTAAAGGGGGAACGATAGGGTAAAGCGGTTTTGTTCCAGGTTTATAAACCTATTTGTTAGAAAATAGGATTTAAATAATCAGAAACAGGCGGGTCTGGTCCTCTTTTGAGGAACCAGGACTTATTTGGACCGGTTCTGGGCCTAAAACCAAAAATCAAGTGCCGGGTTTGCTTTTACTATCCAAAGCCCCAGACCAAGTACGGTTCCGTTCCGGAACCAGATCCAGTTAATTCTCTCCCCTCTGCACAAACCTAAACCACACAATTTTTACTTTATTAATCGTTGTGTGGCTGTGTCGATCAAACTTGACAAAGTTTTAAGGGACGGAGGGAGTATTATAATGACTATCATCTAATCAAAAAATCGAGGGAAGCCTAAAGTAGTACAGAGTTTTCCAAATGCATGATATTATTATAGCATAACCAAAAAATATACTCCGTACTATACTATACAATGAACTTACTAACACCATATATCACATTCCCAGCATAGGTAGTACAGACTTCTTGGTTTTCATAAAAAAACTCTTGTAAAATACTAGCATATCTATCTATACACAATATATGAAGAAATATAATCAGCATGCCACAACCTTGTCTAGAAATATTGACTAAAAAATACAGTTGATTTAAATTCATCCATTAGTTCCCAATACACATCACTATGTTCAGAGGGGAATTTTTAAAGGTATCAGCTCACAACACAATGACATGACCTTAAACTAATCATTCAGAAAGATGGCAATTCTTTTGTCATATTAAAGAAACAGCCAGAAGGCCCATCTTTAGGAAGCAGTGCTAACCTCACAACATATTCAGCTCCTTGAGCTGCAGTTAAAGGACCAAGATTGTTGGTTATGTCAGTCTTGCAAAAACCAGGAGATATGGCATTGACTCGAAAGCTTGGATGAGTTTTTGCCAGGATCCTTGTGTAGGCATTGATACAAGCCTTAGCAACAATATAGGCCGAGACTTGAAGAGGCCAGCCTTTGGTTTCTAGCAAATCATCCCTGAAATCCATCAGAAACTGCTTCCCAACTTCATCAACTCTCTCTTCAGAAAGGTGGTTTTCAGCGTCGCTCAATAACCATTTTGCCCATTCATTAGGTATATTCTGCAACACCCCTAATGCCGCAGAAACATTGACCACAGTTGCAGAATCAGATGCCTGCAGAATGGGAGTAAGTGCTTTCACCACTCTTTTGGCACCATAGTAGTTTGTTTCAAGGCATTGTTCTGCTAAGTCAAAACTTTGACTTGCCATTTCATTCCAACTTATTTCCTTTCCATCTGGCTGCAATACCACACATACACACAACTAACACAACTAATACTCCCTGTGTCCCAAAAAAGAGCCTCATTTCACACACCTTTTTTACCCAATTAAAAGATTCATATTTGATCAAAATTTTCATGTAATTCGCAAAAATAAAGAATTCGAAACCACTACCATATGATAAATTGGATTAACCCTAAAAAGCAAACAACTAGCTCTAAAAAGCATATGTACGACTAATGATGTATAACAGTTTTACCTTACTAAAATTAAAAAAATGTACATCAGTCAAACACGATCCACAATGCTATGATGTGCATGGTGCACTAACAAGAGTGATAAACACACAATAAGTAATAAATAAAATTTCCCTGTCATTCTTTCCACAGTTCCTAACACTTTTGGTGACAATTTCTGTATAATGTTAATCACAATGTCACATTCTAGATAAAGATAATTCCCCAAATAGGAGTAAAACATGGGAGAAGTGCAAAAATAGGAGTAGGTTTTCAAAATTTCCCAAATAGAAGTATTTTTCCGGCTTGGGCTTTGGGCCAGCCACCACTGCTTTCGGAGCTGCAGCCAGCACCGTAATTTTGCAGCATTAATCTGTCACCATCCCGAAGCTGCCGCCACCTTTCTCCGCATTAATGTGTAGTCTCATTTAGGGAATAATCAGGATGCACTCCAATTTAGAGAAAAGGAGTATGTTTTACTCCTCTTAAGGACAATTACTTTTTTAGATATTGTGCAGAGATTAGCCAAAATTTAAAATTACAAAAAAAAGTGTAGAGTAAGAGAGAGAATTTATATTATATTTTGATTTGTTTAACTCTGTTATGCCATGTGTGCAATGTGTACATCATAACACTTGAGCCTATGAAATTAATACATCAAGAAGACACCATTGAAGTAAATGTTTAAGGGAAGCCTTACTATTTACCCAATCACCACAAAGCTCAACGCCTCTTCGAAAATTATCAGGGTTATATACAATTCCACCAATGCCAGCATTGTTCACCTGCACAAGATTTCAAATCTTCTTCATTTTTCATTCTTGCTCATAAGGACAATGTCCGGCACAATAAAAACCTAGACATGACATCTATGCCAAATTTTAAATTCATTGAGTAAAAATGAAGTAAAGTAGTTTACCAAAATATCGAGTTTTCCATACTGGGTTTTGACAAATTCAGCCAAGGAAGCAACACTGTGAGGATCTACCACATCAAGCTGGTGGAAACCCAGTAAGTCATCAGAGATGCCAAAATCCTTGAGCTTTTGAACAGCTTCAAGGCCCCTTTTTTCATCTCTGGCGGTTAAAAGCACGAAAATCCCATTAGAGGCCAGCTGCCTACAGACCTCAAATCCGATCCCCTTGTTTGCTCCGGTGACAACTGCGTACCTGAGATTACAGTATTTAGAACATAATACGAGTAATTGTGAAGCGAAAGAAAACCTACGAAAAGTATGCTTAAGGAAACCTCTTTGGTGTGGAAGTAGCGGACGCTAGGGCCATATTCAGTTAGCACTTTACAGTGGATAGGATGGAATATAGCCTCTAAAACTAATCCAGATTTGGTGAGCACGGTACACCTGCCTTTTTTTTGCAATGAGCTTCTTCTTGATCTGGCTCTGGCCTTCTTCCTTGACTTCACACCCAGCTTCGCAGATCTTGTCTGATTCTTCCATTTGACTTCGCACCTGGTTGACAGCTCACCACTCTTCGACTTGACTTCTGTCGTTGCCTCTCACTCATCTCCTTTCCCTAGAACGGACACATCAGATCCTCCCTATGTTTTTCTTTCGCTCTCTTAGTTTTTCTCTTCTTCTTAATAAGTTTTGGTGTGTGAGATTGTGATTTTTGAAGATAAAGAGAGTCTGCTGCACACATAGGAATCCTCACTGCTATTGATCTCAAATGAATTTTATATTAAAGTCAAATGAGTATACTCATAAAATGAATAAACATAACTGGATATTAAGCACATTAAAAATGAGTTTTGTATTAAACTTAAATAGTTAAATGAGTATACGCTTAAAAGAAATGAACATACACAACTGAATATTAAGCACATTAAAAATGAGTTTTACGTTAAACTTAAATGAGTATAACACCCAAAATTAATGAGCATACACAAATGAGCTTTTGAATTTTTTGATACTCATTTTGTAAATTATGTATGCTCATTTGATACTGCTCATTTTGAAATGATACACATGTCAACTATAACGCCCAAAATCAATGATCATACACAAATGAACTTTTGAATTTTTTTATACTCATTTGTAAATTATATATGCTCATTTTGTATTGTTTTATGCTCATTTTAAAATGATGCACATATCAAACATATCTTACTACATTAGACTCACATATTGAAATTAATTATAAACATAATTTAAGAATTTTTTATAAACGAAAAAATAAGAATAAAAAATTGAATTAGAAGATATGAATCAGAAATCATTGGTGCTCATTGTTAGACTCCTAATACTCAAAAGAACAGATTCAATGCTCATCACAAACGCATTATGTAAATCACTGGTGCTTATAATTTCAAGTTGATGCTCAATGAAAATGTCTTGATGTTCAATTAAATGTACTTATGATTTTCATATCAATTCTCATTTTATAAGTTATATATGCTCAACGGGTATTCACGTTATGCTCATTTGTAAAATGACATAATAATGCATATTTCAAAAGTATCATATTGTATTAAATTCGCATACTGAAGTTCATAAGAGTTGATTATAGATATAATTTAATAAGTTTTTATAAAGAAAAAAAATAAGGAAAAGAAAGTAAATTCGAAAAGATGAAGCAGAGATCACGATGTTCATTGTTATGCTTCTAATGCTCAATATAATATGTATCATGCTCACTAGACGTGTTTTAATGCTCATTTAGTACAAAACGCGAATTTCATGTAAATTACAAAAATGCCACCGGCTGTACCGTGATCACCGTATAGTCGGCTGTACTATATAGGCTTCCTTTCTCGAATGGGTTGTCAGCAAATAGTCAAATACTTCGACACTTCCTTATTCGGTATCTAGTCTTTGCAAAAAATTAAATGAAAAATTGCTTTTGAATTTTTTGTTTTAAGAAAACTTAAAATTAGTGTTCTCAAATGATAAGTTTTAGGCTAACTGGTCAAATAGGCCCTCGAATTAACTTAAAAAGCTCAAATCACCACTTATATAGGAGATTTTATCCAGTCGTCGTCATTTGGGACTGTTCCAGGTAGAATTTTTTGATGAAATTTTTTAATCATCTTCTTCATTAAATCTAGTTTACCCATACACTTGAGCATGGGCCATTAATGATGGACATGTCATATAGTTGGATTTTTTTAATCGTAAAGTGCTTATATCATTAAAATAGTATTCAGCTGGGGTACAAGAACGTAAAAGGACCGCATCAATGGGAGAAGGTGGAAGTGAAAGAATCGATGGCTCTGAGAGGGGGTGATGAAGCCTGCGTGCAGCTGGAATGAAGTTAAGGGCACCAAGTTGAGAATCGGTAATCGACTGATCATCAGCTCACCTAAGGGCCACCAGTTGACATCTATAAAAAAGGACATAATTGGAAGAATGGAAAATAAGTGGCTGTATTTAGCAAAAGTGTGGCTGTGAATAGAATCACCCTTAATTGATTGATGAGTATCAATTAGCGAAGGTAGTACAGAACTACAGACTTGCCTTCTTTTATACAAAGCTCTCCAAATGCGTGATATCAATCATATCATTGGAGCATAAGTGCATAACCAAAGTTTATAATATACAATGAACCTAATAACACAAAATATCACATTCCCGGCATAGGTAGTAGTGTAGTACAGACTTCTTGGTTTTCCTTAAAAAAACTTACAGCATATCTATCTATACACATACGAGTATACAGGGGCGGACCGTAGTAGAGACCCAAGGGGGCAGTGGCCCCTCCAACATTTTTTTTTAGTGTATATATATACCAAAATATAATTTTCGCCCTCCCAAAATTTTTTTTTTTTAGTTACCGCCCTCCCAAGATAAATTTCCTGGGAGTATATGAAGAATTATAATCAGCATGTTACAACCTTGTCTAGAAATGTTGACTAAAAATACAGTAGATTTAAATTTCTGCATTAGTTCCCAATAAAACATCACTATGTTCTGAGGAGATAATTAAAGTTTTCAGCTCACAAAACAATGACATGCTCTTGAACTAATCATTCAGAAAGATGGCAATTCTTTTGTCATATTAAAGAAACGGCCAGAAGGCCCATCTTTAGGAAGCAGTGCAAACATCACAACATGTTCGGCTCCTTGAGCTGCAGTCAAAGGACCAAGATTGTTGGTTATGTCAGTCTTGCAAAATCCAGGAGATATGGCATTCACGCGAAAGCTTGGATGAGTTTTTGCCAGGATCCTTGTGTAGGCATTCATACAAGCCTTGGCAACAATATAGCCCGAGACTTGTAGAGGCCAGCCTTTGGTTTCTAGCAAACCATCCCTGAAATCCTTTAGAAACTGCTTCACAACTTCATCCACTTTCTCTTCAGAGAGGTGGTTTTCAGCGTCGCTCAATAACCGCTTTGCCCATTCGTTAGGTATATTCTGCAACATCCCTAACGCTGAAGAAACATTGACCACAGTTGCAGAATTAGATGCCTGCAGAACAGGAGTAAGTGCTTTCACCACTCTTTTGGCACCATAGTAGTTTGTTTCAAGGCATTGTTCTGCTAAGTCAAAACTTTGACTTGCCATTTCATTCCAACTTATTTCCTTTCCATCTGGCTACAATAACACGCATAAAAACAACTAACACTCTCAGTGTCCCAAAAAAGAGCCACATTTCACACCCCTTTTTAATCCCTATTACAAGAGCCACATTTGATCAGAATAGTCATGTTACTCACAAAAAACGAATTCCAAACCACTACCACATGATAACTTGGAATTCCAAATGAATTCAGAACGATTGTTGATGTATAACAACTGTACCTTACTAAAATAAAAAATGTACATCAGTCAAACATGATCTTCAATGCAATGATTTGCATGGTGCACTACTGAGAGTGATAAACACGTAAAAAATAAAGAATTCATTCTTTCCACAATTCTCAACACTTTTGGTAATATTTTCTCCATAATGTTAAACACAATGTCACATTCTAGATATTTTGCGGAAAATAGCCAAAAATTAAAGTAACAACAAAAGTGTGGAAAGTAAATAAGTTTTTACTTGGACTGTTTTCAGGCTGACTAAACCAGAACAAATCAGACCATACTTAAAGGGACAAGACCAGGCTTCGACAATTATGAAATACACAAACATTTACGAGACCAGATTTAAATAGACCAGACCAGACTAGATCAGATCCGAAAATTTTAATCCAATTAAAACATGCAAAGAGAGAGAATTTGTAATATATTTTGTTTTGTCTAACTCTGTTATGTCATATGCGCAATGGGTACATCATTACACTTGAGCATATGAAATTAATACATCAACAAGACACTATTGAAGTAAATGTTTGATGGAAGCCTTATTATTTACCCAATCACCACAAAGCTCAACGCCTCTTCGAAAATTAACAGGGTTATATACAATTCCACCAACGCCAGCATTGTTCACCTGCACAAGGTTTCAAATCTTCTTCATTTTTTATTCTTGCTCCTAGGACAATGTCTGGTACAATAAAAACCGAGACATCTATGCCAAAATTGTAACTTCATAAGAGTGAAGTAAATTAGTTTACCAAAATATCGAGTTTTCCATACTGGGTTTTGACAAATTCAGCCAAGGAAGCAACGCTGTGAGGATCTACCACATCAAGCTGATGGAAACCCAGTAAGTCATCAGAGATGCCACAACCCTTGAGCTTTTGAACCGATTCAAGTCCCCTTTTTTCATCTCTGGCGGTTAAAAGCACGAAAATCCCATTAGAGGCCAGCTGCCTACAGACCTCAAATCCGATCCCCTTATTTGCTCCGGTGACAAGTGCGTACCTGAGACACAGTATTTAGAACATCATAATTGTGAAGCGAAAGACAGCTTACGAAAAATAAGCCTGAGGAAACCTCTTTGGCGTGGAAGTAGCGGACGCTTGAGCCATATTCAGTTAGCACGTAACAGTGGGTAGGATCATAGGATGGAATATATAGCAGCTAAAACTCATTCAGAAATTGTGAACCCTTGAGGTTTTACCAACGGTTAATATTTGGAGGCGCTTAGACGCATGTTCACAATTCACAAATACTCCATAAAAGATATGTGGAGCTAGGCCTGACAATGGCTCGGGTCTAGACCCGGACCCGACCCGGACCCGGTTGTTTTTAACGGGTATGGGTCCTTATTTTATTCCGTTTACCCAGACCTGAACACGGACCCGTTAGTACTTTTAATAAACGGGTCGGGTATGGTACTTATGATTCCGACCCGTTAAGGACCCGGACCCGTTTAAAATTTCTTATTAGTATTTATACACACACTAATACATAAAGAGATTAGTTATAATACTTCAAATAAAAATACAAACTAATATATATAAAGTGATTAGTTTTAATTCTTTGATTAAAAAGAAACAAATTAATACATACCTAATGTATAAGTGATAATATAATAGTACGTAGTATTTAATATGCTTTTAGTCCAAAAGAACTTTTTGTGACCTAATTTCTAGTCTAATATACAAGCTTTCTGTGGGAGAGAAAGAGACACAAAGTGCGGAATTGTACGCATCTACAAGAACCGATATTTTATTGAATAAAAGTACTAATTTTCTATGATAACCCTTGATTTGTTTTTTGAAAAGTGAAGATATATTTTGCTTTTAAATTTGTGCACTTTGATTTACATTTCATATACATGTTTTACTAT